CTCTCTCTCTCTCTCTCTCTCCCCCTCTCTCTCTCCCTCTGTGTGTGTGTGTGTGTGTGTGTGTCTGCGGTATTGGGCCTGAAGATGTGGAGAGTTCTATTCATACTCACCTCAGAAAGAAAATAGGTGAGTCCGCACGGCGTCGCGAAGTGCACCCTCTTTACCTCCCCCCCTCCCTCCCTCCCTCCCTCCCTCCCCCCGTCGCTCTCTCTCTTCGGTGTTGTGCGTGAAGAGGTGGAGAGTTCCGTTCATTTTCGGGCCGAAAACCAAATGGTTGGTTTCGCTCGGCGCGTGCGAAGTGCACCCTCTCCCTCTCTCCCTCCCTCCGCACATCCCTCCTTTCCTCCTTCCTTCACCCACGTTTAGGGCTGCAGCTCCTTTTTTTGTGGGGCTGCCATGTTGCAAGTGGGACTGGATCTTTAGCACGGCCGCTATGGGAAGGAGTAGGTGGGATCGTGTCGTGAATGCGGAGAAGCAGGGGGAGAAGGAACACTAGGGGGAGATCAATTGCCTGGGCAGGCAGGTAGGACAAGGTCGCCATCCAAATCTTGAGAGGCTGGAGTAGCAGAAGAAGGAAGAAGGGGGAGGGTGAGGATGTCGGATCAGGAGGATGAGAGGGTCAGGATTTGGTCGGTCAGGATGGGATGCGACGACAGAGGAAGCTGAAGGACAGCCACCGGGATAGGATCATGCAAGGCAAGTTTGCCGACGTTAAGGAGGCTGTGGAGGAGGATGTAGGTCGGGAACCCAATTTGTGAATAACGGGATGGGCAGCGCGTATTGGCGGGGGGGCGATCAGCATGTGGGATCGAGATGACTAGAGGGTCAGAATGCCAGCTAATCAGGTAAGGATGCAGGAGGAACCGATGAAGTCCAGGGGAAAGAAGGCCGAGGCAACAGGGTAGGGATGCAGTTCGTGTAGGATGATCCGGACAAGGTGGGGAAGAAGAGATTTCAGGCTGGAAGGGGGGGGGGGGAGGACAGGTAAGGAAAGGAGAGAGCAGGATAATAACGAAGGGCCTGAATCAGGAAAGGCATAGGGTAAATGTGGATATGCAGGTGATGGAGAGAGGGCAATGAAGAGAGAGCAACTGCTGCGTTGGCGCAGTGATTGCAGGCAGGACTGCATTCAAGAGATTTTTCTTCAGTGGCAGGTTCCCAGGCCTGCTCGATGTGACAACCTAGTGATTGTCAGTGCCGCAAAAGCTGTGACCACCATATGAACTCTCTCTCTCTCTCTCTCTCTCTCTCTCTCTCTCTCTCTCTCTCTCTCTCTCTCTCTCTCTCTCTCTCTCTCTCTCTCTCTCTCTCTC